ATTAGCTTAATGACCGTGTGATTCATTTAACAACTGCAGTGACTCACTTCACAACCATGCCCCAAATTTCATAAATTGGGGCATGACTCGTGAACAACTGTCTAGCTTAGCGACAGCAATATTGAGCTCAATGGTGGTGGTAAGTCAGAATTACCTGTTATTTTCTTTTCTAAACCTGTCTTTCATTTCTCAGCAACTACCCCAACCCCACTTCTGCTCTCCCCCCCACCCCAAAAAAACCCCAGGACTTCAACAGCAATTTAAAGAGGGTGTGTGTGAGTCAAGATCAGAAAGGGCTTCTTTGTTGTAAAGAGAATTTGCGTAGACTGGACTGCCATCCATCAGAAATGGTGTTAGGGTCTCCTGCTTGGGCTGGGTGGGTGGGAGTTTGGACTAGATGACCTCCAAGGTCCCTTTCCCACTCTGTTAATCTGTTAAATCAGAACTTTAGCTTGCATCTGACTCACTGGAAACATGGAGAAACACTTGTTCCTGGACTGGTACCATGGCTAGAATACCACTGAGTTTGGAGGGTGCATTGTGAAGTGGGATAGAGAGAGACACAGAAATGGAGGGCAGAGCCTGAGAGGTGGGGCAGAGTTTGGGGGCTCAGACTGAGGAGACAGGAGACAATCCTGTGAATGGTTCTCAACTTTTTCTTCACCACGGGCCGCCCTTTAAATACCTTTGGTGGCTACGGTAAACTCAAAATTTAAATAGTTAATGTTTCGTCAAGTCTTTGCAGATCCTGTGATGACATTGTGGTCCCCCCGACCCCTGGGTCTGCGGACTACCGGCTGAGAATCACTGTTGTAAAGGATCATAGGTTGCAGACACAGAGCTGCTCTAATAATAGCAATAGCACTTAGACTTATATATCGCTTCACAATGCTTTTCCAGCCCTCTCTAAGCGGTTTACAGAGTCAGCCTCTTGCCCCCAACAATCTGGGTCCTCATTTTACCCACCTCGGAAGGATGGAAGACTGAGTCAACCTTGAGCCTGGTGGGATTTGAACTGCTGGCAGTGAGCAGTCAGCCTGAAATCCTGCATTCTAACCACTGAACCACCACAGCAAGAGAAAGAAAGAAAGAGAGAGAGAGAGAGAGAGAGAGAGAGATGGAGAGATAAATAGCAATAGCATTTAGACATATACCGCTTCACAGTGCTCTACAGCCAGACTCTCTAAGCAGTTTACAGAGTCAGCCTCTTGCCCCCCACAATCTGGGTCCTCATTTTACCCACCTCGGAAGGATGGAAGGCTGAGTCAACCTTGAGCCTGGTGGGATTTGAACTGCCAAATTGTAGGCAGCCGGCAGTCAGCAGAAGTAGCCCTGGCAGGACTGCACTCTAACCACTGCGCCACAGAGGCTCCGTATATAATAATGCCACTGAACTAAATTCCATTACATCGTTCATACTATTTTGGAATCAACTTTCTCCACATTAGTTTTTAAAGCGGAATCCAGAGTTCCTATCTGGATACCGCGTGAAATCATTTCAGTTTAGCTTCCCAGAGGGGAATTTGTGCTGCCCCTCCCATGTGCAAGAAATCCAGGAAAAGGCGGAATGAAGTCCTGTACTTTGTCAAGTTTGCGCAAGTGCAGAGGCAAGGCTCTCATTCGAGGTTCCAACTCATTGGTTGTTTTTTTATGAAATCGGCAACAAAACGGTGCAGCGAGTCTGTAACTTGAGGGAAAGGCTTAGTTCTTCATTCCACTTGGCTGTCCTCTTGAACACAAAGGGGCGTTTCAAGGGGAAAAGGATGTTCTAGACCAGGGGTGTCCAACCTTGGCAACTTTAAGACTTGTGGACTTCAACTCCCAGAATTCCTCAGCCAGCAGGTTGGACACCCCTGTTCTAGACTCTTCAGGTTTTCAACTAGTTTGGAGCCACAGTAGTTCTTGAAAAAAAATATCTTCCCTCTAAGGATCCCTCAGTCTCCTGCTTGGGTGAGGGGATTGGACTAGGATCAGGGGTCGCCAACCTTTTGGACCTCAGGGAGCACCAAACTCATAATTTTAAATCCCACGGACCACTAATATGAATTTTGACGGGGGCTTGCTGACGTTTTGCTCAGGGTCTCTGCAAAAAGCAGCAGAGACCCTGGGAAAATCCCCCCAAAAGTCTGCAGGAAAATTCCCCACCACATTTTCCTACTGATCGATCATTCATTTATTTGAGATTGCAGGATACCATTTCCAGCTTTGTTCTCCGGGGCGGGCGGGGGGGGGGGGAGAGCCTTTTGGCTTCATGCAAGGAAAGCAGCAGAAGTCTTTCTTTCTCTCCCCCAAACTCCGCCAGAAATGAGTCTTTGCCGGCGCAGCCTCTTGGAGCAGGAGGCCTTGCAGGGTCCCAAGGACTCATTTCTGGTGGAGTTTGGGGGAGAGAAAGAAAGACTTTTGCTGCTTTCCTTGCATGCAGCCAAAAGCCGAAGAGGAAAGAAGCGGAAAGAAGCAGCCCAGTGGCCAGGCCAGGCAAATGGGGCAAGCTCCCCCCTTCCACCCTTTCCACCCTCCCCTCACTACCTCATGTTGTTCGCAATGCAAGCGACGCAAACCTTGTGTTCCCGTGGGCGGCTCAGCCTTGTGTTCCTGCACAGCCTGGATTAATTGCTTTGGAGGTGACATTTCTCTGCGGACCACCAAAATTTTCTCGTGGACCACCAGTGGTCCCCCAGCCCACTAGTTGGCTACCACTGGACTAGATGACCTACACGGTCGCTTCCAACTCTATTAATCTGGATCTGAACCACGGAATGATGAGAATTGGAGGCAACCTTAGAGGTCATCCCGTCCAACCCTCCCATCGATGCTGGGTCAAGGGAGGGAGAGAAAAAAAGAGATGGCCTTTTATTCAGACGTTGTGGGTGCTTCATCGCTGGAGTTTTTTTTAAGAAAGAGACTAGACAGCGACTTGTCTGAAATGGTATAGGGGCTCCTGCTTGAGCAGGGGGCTGGACTAGAAGACCTCCAAGGCCCCTTCCACCTCTATTCTGATTCTGAGGGCCAGAATCTCCAATGCTATTTGGTGGGCAAGACTTTACAAGACTTTTTTAAATGTAGCCGAGCCTCGTTTTTTTTCTGCTGTATTGGCAATTTTATTGAAATTAGATGTCATGTTCTCGCAAAAATCAATACTTGGCCTGAGAAAGAGGGAATGATTACAAATTCCAGGTCAATGATGCAACCTTAAGAGCAAACAAAATAAAAAGAACTTTTACTGAAGAAGGGAAAAAATAAATGGAGAAATGTTAAAATACTGATAGAAAGGTAAAGTGTAGAGGCCAGAGTTTATCCAGGGGGAAGCTACCTGGTTACTTAATAGTGCTCAACCATCAGCAGTTCATAGCGACACCTAGTGGCAAGACCTGTTCATTTCTTCCGGAAGTTTTTTGCAGCTTAACAGATAACCAGAGTTGGAAGGGACCTTGTAGGTCATCTAGCCCAACCCCCTGCCCAACCAGGAGACTCTACACCATTTCAGACAGATGGGAGTCCAATCTCTTCTTGAAAGTCTCAAGTGATGGTGCTCCCACAACTTCCTAAGCCACGGGTTGATTGTTCTCCATCAGAAAGTTTCTCCTTATTTCCCCGGCTGAATCTCTCCTTGATCAGTTTCCATCCGTTATTTCTTGTCCGGCCTTCTGATGCCTTGGAGGATAGCTTGATCCCCTCTCTGTGGCAGCCCCTCAAGTATTGGAACACTGCTATCATGTCTCCCCTGGTCCTTCTCTTCACTAGATTAGCCATGCCCAGTTCTATCTATACTGTAGTGAAGGAATATTCATTCCTAAGAGTAGCGAAATACTGCTGTAAATGCATTGTGGAAGATTTAACCCTCATAAAACTCCCTGGAGGTATTTATTGTACAGGTATACTCATTGCTGAAAAGTTTAAGAGAGATGATTACATATTGTTAGAGCACTGCCAACTTTTTCAAGCACCGGTAGAAACTTCTATGGATGTCTCAAAGGTGCTTTTTTCTTCTTCTCTATGCTCTTTCCCCCCACTCTTTCTTCTATAAATTTGTTTCTATGGACGTTCTGCCTTAACGTCGGAACTGAGGCTTGGTGATCTGACAGCAGAGAGATTGTGGTGAAGAGCCCAGCTGGCCAAGGAAGCATGCTTATTCCAGGACTTGCCAGTAAGAACGAAGGGGGAAAAAATCGTCTTGAGAATCTGATCTGAGAAACTTAGGAAACGAATCTTAGGAAGGCCTGGTTCAATCTACAGGAAAACTGCCATAGTCCAAGGATCTGAATCCTCATGACGCGGATAGGATAGGATAGAATAGGAGAGAAACTCAAACCAGTCATTTTCAAGGAGGCTCCAGCAGCATCAACTGAATGGCTGAGGTGTCTTCAGCTGTAGCACTTAGCACTTAAGAACATTTTGTAACTGTTCTTGCTCAACCCAGGTGTTTTAAAGACTGCTCTTACATCAAACTGGCACAAACAGTTCACAAACAGAAAGGTAAAATCTAATGAGCATGTTCTCTGTGTGTGTATATCGGAAACAATGGGTCGGTGGAAGTTTGTACAAGCTGTTTTATCAATTCAACCGGGCAACAAATATTAAAATAATGTGGTGGTGGCTTACATAAAATAGTAGAGTTGGAAAGGAATGGGATGGAATAGGATAACAGAAAATGGAATAGAAGCTAAAAGGGACCTTGGAGGTCTTCTAGTCCAACCCCCTACTCTAAGAGGTTTAGAGTCAGCCTCTTGCCCCCAACAATCTGAGACCTCATTTAACCGGCAAGACAGACTTATTCAGCCCCAAAGCCTTTGGAGACTAAATGCTGCTGACCCGAAACATGCCAAAAGGGATCCCTGATGCCTCTGCTGTGCTGTGCTGGGGTCACATCTGGAAGCCTGAACAGCCGACAGCCTCTGAAAATACCTTTTCTGACCAATCTTTTGCCTTCATTCTATTAGCAAATCCCGTAACGGCTGATACCATTTGCAAATCACAACCAGCGTATTGCCATCATGGCCATGTATATATATATATTTAATCTGTTTTTGACAGGGACCTGAATTCCATCTGCTCCTTTTTTTCATTCAGGGACTCCTTTAGATCGTAAGATCAGCTGATCTTGAGGAAATCCAACGCATCTTCTTTTAGTCTCTTGGGGTCTGAGGACGGGATCCGCCAGAAATCTTCTGAGCTCTGAGCTTCCACAGCTCCTACCAAAGGAAAGAGATTCAACATCCTTTAGAGTTCTCATACAATTCAGGTGTCAGGATTCTGGCAGCTGCCCTAATTAAATCATGAGCTTTGAGCCAAGCTACAAAAACTTCAAAGGATTTATCAGGAGCGAACATGTCGGCATGACCTGGATGTAGCTGATTCTGAGACACGTAATTCTTGGTCAAGGTCAAGGGTGAAATGAATGATGGGTCAGAGTCGGCTGGCTGTCAAGGCTCCGACATGCACCCCCATTCAAATCACAAGTCTCTAGCTGCATCCCTCAGAGTAAAAAAAATAAAATGATTTATTAGGAGTTAACATGTTGGTGTTTCCTGGTTGTAGCCGACTCTGACATATCATTCATTTCCCCCTTGATCCTGGCCTTCCCCCCACCCACTGGATGTGTAGTCTCCAATGGGACACATCCATAGCCAAGAGTCATCAATCATGCTCTCCAGTAATCATCTTATGAGCCAACAGCTTTGGCTGCCATAGCGATTATCTGAAGCATTTAAGGAATGCACTGTTTCCCCCCACTCCCTTTCTGCTGGCAACTAAAAAGACCATAGAAGTATTATTATTTTTTTAGTTGACAGTCACCCTTGACCCTGGTTTTCCCGCACCCCTCTGGGTGTATCATAATTCATATTCTCCAACGAAACATGTTCATAGCCAAGAGTCATCAATCACGTTCTCCAATTAGAGATTTGTGTGGCAGAAATTCCGGTAGCTTAGTTATAATCTTTGCAAGATAAAAATGGAATGCACTTTCGGTTCCGAATTGCTGTGCTGCTCTTTCAAATCCCCCCTCCCCTTTCTGTTCATGGCAACTCTAAAACAGGCATAAAAATGTTTTATGAGTTGACATTAGGATTGTACCATTATTTATGAGGATGGAAAAGCAGGAAAAAGCTTACCCCTAACTCTGTCATTTGCTTTGGGGCTGAAGAACAACAGTATCTATAGGGAACCACAAATGGTAGGCCAGGTGTTGGTGCTCCTGGATGCTAATGGTCCTGTCATGCCCCTGGTGGAGACGGACTCTGAGGGAGAGGAGGAACAGCCAAGACAGGGAGTGGAAATGTGGCTCCAGAAGTTGTGGAGGAGGCTGGGGAAGGGCAGAGGCCGGCTGAGCAGTCAGAGGAGGACCCAGGCCCATCCCCTATCCATCCCGGGGCATGCAGGGAGGAGAGGATAAGGGAGAGACGTGGTCTCCTCAGGAGGAGAGGGCCTTGATCCTCTTCATGGGCTGCAGCTGTGACAACTGAATAAGAGGATGGACCTGCATACGGGTGAGTGCTGGAAACAAAGCATAGAAATATCTCTAGTTTAAGGTTCCTCTCTGAGTTTGGCATCCTTCCCAGTGTGTGTTATCCGTGGATGTCCTCCAGCCCTTATCTTGCCTGGTTTGTCTTGCTTTTTTCTCCTTCTTGTAACTGTTTGTGTGGGAGTTTTTTGTCTTTCGTCAAGGATATTTGGAGCTTGGAAGGAAAGTGAAGGAATAAAAGGGGCTTCACCTGTTTACTGTGACTGTGTTTGTTTTGTATCCCATCCTGGGTCATCACAGGTACCTGGGCACTTCCTGGTGTACCTGCAGAGTATCTGCTTTCTTCTCAAATTAAAAAATAAAATAAAGGATTTGGGATACCCAACACACACAAACACACAAAGGGAAACCAGAGGAATGATAGCAAGGTAGATGATGATCAGCTAAGAAAAAGCTGAGAAACAGTTGGAAGGGGACCTTGGAAGTCATCTAGTCTAACCCCCTGCTCTCGCAGGAGACCTATACTATTTCTGATAAATGGCTGTCCAGTCTCTTTTTGAAAGCCTCTAGTGATGGGGCACCCACAGCTTCCAAAGGCAATTTGTTCCACTGGTTAATTGTCCTCACTGTCAGGTAATTTCTCCTTAGTTCTAGGTTGCTTCTCTCCTTGGTTAGTTTCCATCCATTGTTTCTTGTCCTGCCTACGATTTATAATGATTGTCTCCTAGTATGATGTGATTGCTTATTTGTATCCTATGACTATCATTAAGTGTTGTACCTGATGATTCTTGACTCTTGATGAATGTCTCTTTTCTTTTATATACACTGAGAGCATTTGCACCAAAGATTGTGTGTCCAATCACACTTGCCCAATAAAGAATTCCAACATCTAACAGATGCTTTGGTAAATAAGCTGGACCCCTCTTCCTTGTGGCAGCCCCTTAGATATTGGAAGACTGCTATAAGTCACCACTGGTCCTTCTTTTCATTAGACTAGGTCAGGGGTTCCCAACTGGGGGCGGGGTGCACGACGGTATTCCAGGGGGTGCGGAAACTTGGGTTTAGAAGTTTCAAAATTATAGTGTATATGCATAATTATATGCCTATAATTATTTACTTTTGCAAGGGGTGTGAGAATATGTCAGAAGTGTCCTAGGAGTGCAAGTTATAGAAAAGGTTGGGACTAGATTATCCGAGTTCCTGCAATCATTCTTCCTATATTTCAGCTTCCAGGCCCATGATGGCGAACCGATGGCACATGTGCCTCAAGTGGCATGCAGAGCCATTTGTGCTGGCACGCGAGCTGCAGGCAAACTTACCTCACTGCAGATGCACGCGCCTCACAGCTGTTTTTTTTTTTGGTTGGTTTGAGGCCTTTTTTGGCCTCCCAGAGACTTCGAAAAAGCTCTGCGAGGTTTTTCAGGACAAATTATAGGCCTGTTTCATCACTTCCTGTAATACCGGAAGTGACAAAATGGGCCTATAATTCGGACTGAAAAGCCTTGCAGAGGCTTTTCCCAAGTCTCTGGGAGGCCGAGAAATAAGCTGTGAGGCACAGCTCAGGTAAGGGGGGGGGGGGGGGGTGTGCATTCGGGGGGGGGGGGGGGGGGGGGGGGGGGGGCCGCATTGCATTTTGGGCGCTGGCACATGAGTGCGTGTGTGCTGGCGTGCATGTGCAATTTTTGGCACAGGAGCCCAAAAAGGTTAGCGACCACTGTTCTAGGCTAAAAAATGGAGAGGGTATCAGCAAGTAGGACATGGAGATATTGCAACCAAACAGGAAGTCCTGAGCATTTGTCTGCAGGAAAATGAGCAACTGGGGTGATTTAGTTGCTGGCTGAGGGGACTTGGGAGATAATGTGGAGGGATGTTTTTGAAGAACGAAAGGGGAATCCAAAGTGCAAAGAAAGGAAAATTGAAAGAAGCAGATGTGTTTTGGAATTCCCTAAATTATTTGGTGCAGCTTCTCTTCGTCTACTTTTCTAGATGTTTGGAAGTTGGCTGTGCCCAAAATAGCCCTTTGCCTCAAAAGGACTTTGTGCGATCTCCTCTGTCCGTCCCAGAATGGCACAGAAGGCGCAAACCTTCCAAACTTTTGGCTGGAGAGACAATCGTCTTTTTTGGTTTCCTATAATTTCAGCGTTTCCTGCCTGAGTGGGATGATTATGTTGCAGACATTGAAACAGCATCTGGGTTCAGCCTGTTTCCTTCTGCATACTAGATCAACAGGTGCAACGGCAGCCAGTAGCTGTAACCAATCAGCCCCAATTCCTCACTCCGGAGATTAAATCAAATACGAGCTGCAGCACTTCACACACCACCGTGTGCAATGTGTTCCCAGTTTTACAATAGGTCAGCATGGAATCAATTTATAAGGCTTATTCAATGTTTGTCCTTCTTTGCAGAGCTCGGAACTTCAAATACAGGCTTCCAGCAGGGGAACATTTTGTAACGGTTCTTGCTCAATCCAGGTGTTTTGAAGACTGCTCTTACATCAAACTGGCACAAAGAGTTCACAAACAGAACAATAAAATCTAATGCGTATGCTCTCTGCATGTGTATCAGAAACAACGGTTCGGTGGAAGATTATACAAGCTGTTTTATCAATTCAACCAGGCAACGAATACTAAAATAATGTGGTGGCTTACATAAAATAAAGAGAGTTGGGAAGGAATAGAATGGAATAGAATAACAGAATAGAATAGAAAATGGAATAGAAAATGGAATGGAATGGAAGAGAAGCTGAAAGGGGCCTTGGAGGTCTTCTAGTCCAACCCCCTATTCAAGTAGGAGATTCTATATCAATGATGGCAAACCTTTTTGTTGTGGTGTGCCGAAAGCGAGGGAGAGATAGCGCGCATGTGTGCCCACAATGCAATGCGCCCCCCCTTGCATGCGCGCGCAACACCCCACTTACCTGTACTGCACATGCATGTGCCTCCCAGCTGATTTTCGGCCCATTTGAGGCCTTTTTCACCCTCCTGGAGGCTCGAGGCAGAGCCTCTGGAGGCCGAGAATGGGCCTTCCGGAAATACTGGAAGTGCCGTTTTTCAGCCTCCGGAGGGCCTCTGGAGCCCGGGGGAGGCCGTTTTCGCCCTCCCGGGGGTCGAGGAAAGCCTCTGCAGCCTTTGGAGGCTGGAAAACGGGCCCGTTTCATGGGCACTTCTGGTATTTCCGGAAGGCCCATCTTTTTGGCCTCCCGAGGCTGCAGAGGCTTCCCTCGAGCCTTCGGGAGGGCAAAAACAGCTTCAAACGGCCCAAAAATCAGCTGGGAGCCGTGCGCATGCGCAGTGCAGGTTACTTTGGCTGAGGCTCGCGTACTTGCACAAATGGCTCTGCACACCACCTGTGGCACGCATGCCATAGGTTCGCCATCATGGCCCTATGTCATTTCAGACAAATGATTGTCCAGTTTCTTCTTATAAGACTCCAGTGTTGGAGCACCCACAACTTCTGAAGGCAAAGCCCTTCCCTGCTTAATTGTTCTCGCTGTGAGGAAATTTCTCCTTGGTTCTAGGTTGCTTCTCCCTCTGATTCGTTTCCATCCATTGTGTTTCCTCTCTTGTGCTTGTTCTACCACCCTGACTTTCTACCACTTGCTTGATTACACCAGGTAAGTAGTTTGCCAACAAGGATACCCACCAGTTGCGGAACTCGCTCGTAAACAATACGCTGCGGAAAAGACAGCTCCACAGGCTGAACGCTGTATCTCATCTCGCCATCGCTGGTTTTCAGCAGCTCATCCAAAGTACTCCGGAAGTGACTGTAGGCTTCGCACACAACGTCCATTTGTCTTAAAGTGAAGTTGAACCTAGTCAAACACAAAGTACCTCAGAACATTTTCAAGAATATTTTTTTTAGCTAAACGTGACTGCATCTCCCCCTCCCCACAAGGGTTCAGGAGATGAAATCAACCTGACAGCAGATACTGGACTTACAAAGTACCATCTAATCGCCTGTACTTAGATAACATCGCCGAAGGTGAAAAATTCTGTGTTGTTCATACCTATTGCTCTACGGGACTTTTTCACGTACAAACCTCGAGGAAGAGAACGCTTACATGTCTGTTTTATTCAGCTTCAAAATTTGGGAACGAGGTAAAGTCAACAAAGGGAAGTCAAAGGGAGGAAGGAGAAAAAAGTTTGCTCTTTCTGTAGAATTGCTAAGATGCTCAGAGTACAGAAGTCATGCTGGAATGTAGATAGTTCTCAACTTGCGACCATTCATTGTTCTGACCTAGGTTTCCCCAACAGCACAAAGCTGACTCTTTGTCCCGATAAACCCCTTTTATTTAATTACAGTGAATTCCTCTCCAGCAAAGCCCCGGCCAACAGTCTTTTAAAAGATATTCCACAATTACCAACCTTTATCAGGCTTGGAGAATTGCCAGGCCAATATCTTTCAGATGCCACACTGTAGCAGGAAATATTTGGCAAGAATGCAGGAACAAATCTTCACCCAAATGAACTAATTGTCTCCTGCAAAACCCCTCTCTCCTTTTGCTCCTCTTTTATTCCCTATGGGAGGGGCCATTCACTGTCCACCTGTGGCTTTACTCCTAAGTCAACCCTTGTTCCTTAGCTATTCTCTTCTTCTGGCAGCTCTGTGCATGCGCACACTGGGAACAGGCTCCAGCTGTTCTTCTGTCCCACTGACTCTGACTCCAAAGGCAGTTGATAACTGTCAGACGGCCCTGGCCCCATCTCTGCCTCCGACGCAGAGCCCTCGTCAGAGTCTTCCCCAGACTCCAGGACTGGACCATGCTCCTCCCCAACCTCCTCACTGTCCAAATCTGCTGCCAGCTCTGCTGGCCACTGGTGGACCACAACATTCGTTTAGTAAGCATTCAAAGTTACAAAAGCGCTGAAAGAAGTGACTTATGACCGGTTTTTGCATTTACAACCATCAGAGTAACCTCAGAGTCAACAGTCTTTATTTTGGTTTTTTTGGCAACCATCCTGGGGTCACGTGATCATCCTTTGTGACCTTTCAAGCCAGCTTCTGTTAAGCAAAGTCAATGGGTAAAAGAGAGTCGCTTAATGATGACTCTGATGTACTTAGCAACTGTGGCAAAAAATTGTAACCTTGTGTGGGATTCTCTTAACAAGCATCTTGTTTAGCAATTGAGATTCTGACCCTCAGAATCGGAACAGAGCTGGAAGGGACCTTGGAGGTCTTCTAGTCCAGCTCCCTGCTCAAGCAGGAACCTTATACCACTGCAGACAAGTGACTGTCAATCTCTTCTTTAAAATCTCCAGTGATGAAGCACCTGCAAGGTCTGAAGGGTGTGGTTTTAAATTGAGGATTATCTGTAAACGAAAGGCCCCTTTTTAAAGTGATCCAGAAATAAAAATTGTCTAAAATCATTGGTTGTCTAAAATCATTGGTAAAATCAACTTGGAGAAGCAAATCCTAGTCTTAGTTGCAAGCTACGCTTTTGCTTGATTTGAGACAAACAAGACACCCTATTTGTGTTATAGTGCGTTTTCCACTTAAGTGGTATCACCAACCTCTTTTCCATAGAGAAGTAGACGGTACAAGAATTCTTCAGGTTCCTAGTGATTCGGGACAGCGTTTTGAAAAAAGCATCCGTTAGGTCATCGTCATAAAACACTGCAATATAAAAGATGGAAGGGTGAAGGTTTCCAAGGCTATCCAGAAGCATTAACCTCCCACCTTAAAGCTGACTTATACAATCTATAATTGTTCAGGATGCATTGTATCATATAGGATAATGCAAGCAGTTAACTTTGCATTTTACTAACTAGAACTCCAGGTGAGTTGCGGTCATGGAGTAAAGAGAAGGACATTTTGTAACTGTAAGAGACAAGCATGGCAACACACACATACACTGATCTGCCTTGTAGCTACACATTTGTTTTTTAAATGTTACGGAGAGACTTTTATGCAATAATAGGAGGACGATGTGGTGGATATAAATTCACCGTCTTGATGTCTATGGGAATTTTCAATCGTCCTTGTCATGGTTGTCCCAAATGTGCTTTTTCAAAAGACAACGGGATGTTCTATATTTTTTCTGTGAAAATGTCTCGTTTCTCATCCAAGTTTCTTCAGTTTTGAACTTCAGTTCTGAACAGAAGAAGCTTCTTGGATGAGAAGTGAACAAAAAAACCCCAAACCCAAGGAAGTACAGCTGTCTTTTGGAAAAGCATCTTTGGGTTCACTGTCTTATTCGTAAAAATAATGAAGGTGGGATAAATAAAATAAATTTGTTTAATGGATAGAAAGATACTAAACTCTGCTGTCACCTCCTATTTTCCCCAAGGACTGTTTTATAAGGAACATTCCAAATGTCAATTAATAATTTCCATTGCTGAATGACAAAATATCTCCAAGCAGTGGTGTTATCTTCCTAGAACTCTTACGGGTCTTTCTTACCACTATATTAATTTTCTTTTGGGGGGGGGGGGGGGGGTATTTAATTTCAACATTGCTGTCTGAAAAGTGGCTCCAATTATATAGTTTATTTACTTTAGAATGGTATCTGCTTTTTCGTTGTTTCTCTCATTAGTTTTTGTGTGATCACAAAATGGCTTATTGAACTTTTAAAACAATGATTCTTTGTTACTCCCTTATTTTACTGCATCAAAAGGAGTCAGAAGTCAAAGCTTTCCCCCCCCCCTACACTTTTGTCCCCCTTTCCTCCCTTCATCGCCATTGTCTTTTAATGACCCCATAATCCCTTGTGGGATGGGCAATTGATTAGAGAGGAGTGTTTACTGGCCGGATGCCCTTCCTATCGCCAATGCGGAGCTATATTCAGCAAATATATTCTCATCGTGCCCAGAGAGAGAAATATCTGCCTCTACCTAGAACTGAACTCACAGCCTCCCAATTGTGAGGCGAAAGCTCCCCCTCCAGGCCACCGCAGCACTCTTCCGTTTCCTCCCTTGTTTCCTTTTTTCTTTGTATTTATTTTATATTTTGATAAACTAATAAAAATTTCGCAATTAAAAAAAAGTACTTTTTTAAAAAAATAGTGATTCCAAACACTTCATTAAAAATGTTCTGGGCAAGATCTGTTTAACTTGTACCTGTTTTAATCTTGCATTTTATATTTTAAACTCTAAGGTTCTACAGTATCTTAACTGGGATGCTTTTGACATGCATAAACAAACATTAAAAAAACAACAACCTCGGAGCGTATGAAAGCTGCACAAATATGCAGTTGTGATTTCATAGCTATTCCTCTGATAATTCAAATTTCTGAACCAATTTGAAGAACAGAATGAGCCTGGGTTTTGTCCAATTGATTGGCAGCCAAGTCCAAGAACTGAAAGGTTTGTGCACATCCTTACCTAAAGCAACTGTCACCTTAAATCACCTTTCCTTGAACCAACCTGATTCTGACATTCCAATCTCATTCAGGCTGATTAGCATACTCCTGTTTTTATACCCTCAATCCATTCCCAAACCTTTTTCATACCATCAGCAGCCAGTATCACAGTGGTGAGGTCATGCAGCTCAGTAATCTCTTTTTCGGACCAGCTGAAGCAATCCTCAGGATCTACAGCAAAAAGAGGGGGAAAAATGTATACAACATTTACTGCATATCCCAAACTATATAATAAAAATTAAAAAAAATTACAAAACAAGCACTCCGGAGGGTTAAGGTCATTGCCAAGGATCATGGGTTGCCCTCTCCCCACTTTGGAAGAGCTTTCTAGCTCCTGCTGCCTTCAAAAAGCTCAAAACATTCTCAAAGATCCATCTCATCCTGGGCACCCCTTTTTTTTGAACTATTACCATCTGGCAGACGGTACAGGATAATAATAAAAACAAGGACAAATAGGCTGAAAAACAGCTTCTATCCCAGGGCAGTAGCTCTGTTGAATTCTACTGTATAGTGTAGTGTTGGTGTGGTATTGCGGGTTTTCGGTTCAATGTATGGAGGGTGAAGGATGTGTGTTTGTGTTTATGGTCATGATGTGCCCTGAAGATGGTGTTTGATTTCGTTGTATGAGGTGCAATGACAATAAAGTAACTAAAAAAAAAAAATAAGATAGTCATTCTCTTCTTTAAATCACACCGTTTGTCTGTGACAACCTAAATTTTACATTCTGTTCCTCAGGACTTTGATCTCCCAATTAAGCCAAGCAATACTATGGTTTACTCAATGAAGGGCAAAAAAGTATTTTGCAAACGCTTAGAGGCAAAGCCTTTAGTGTCATCACCTCAGATAAATCCCGAGTTTTAAATGAGAGATTGGGAAGAAAAGCTCAAATCCAGCTATAGAAAAGGTTTACATACCAGTGCAGAAATCGTCTTGCTGCCAATCCAGCTTTTTAACTCTAATTTCACTTCCTAAAAATCCGTAAAATAAGTGACAAGAAAACTAATTAGGATACAAACAATACATAAAATAAACAAGAATGTGGAGGCAATGCGGTTACAATGTGTTTCTTATATACATGTGGTCCACAATTGGGACCGGAATGGCTGTCGCGGAGCTGGTCACCACATGCCTGGGGCTGATTTTACCACCATTTTTACTGCGGTCATTAAGCAACCACGGTCGTTAAGTGATTCACATGGCTCTTAAATGAACGTGGCTTTCCCTATGAAATCTGCTTGATGGGAGCGGCTGTGAAAGTTGCCAACTGTGATCATGTGGCCCTGGGAGATTGTGTTGTAAATGTGAGTTGGCTGCCAAGAGCCCAAACTGCAATCACGTGACTAACGTATTTGCCCAAAAATAAGACCGGGTTTTGTATTAATTTTTGCTCCAAAAGATGCATTAGGGCTTATTTTCCAGTTAGTGTCAACTATAATGTATACAAAATGTTTGTAGGTCTTATTTTGACCGTTAGGTCTTATTTAGGGGAAAATATGGCACTAAATTTGTCTGTCTGGCTGACAATTTTTTAACTGGGCCTTATTTTTGGGGTAGGGCTTATTTACGAGCATCCTAAAAAATCATGCTAGGGCTTATTTTCCGGTTAGATATACAAGTATAAGCTCTAGGGACAGGGCTTATTTTGGGGGAAATACAGTAGTTGCAGTTGTAACCTGGAGGATGGATTGTCTCATTTTTCAGCACCATTGTAACTTTGAATTGTTGTTAAGCAAATGGTCATAAGTTGAGAGTTACCTGTGCTATGTACTATGGAGACATTTACACATTCTGTATCTTTTCTTGTTTCCTTATATATCTTCCATGCACTTTAGCTCAAGAACTTTTCAACTTTCCCGGACTTCTGGTTTGAAGGGCTTTGGCGACAGACAGAAATCCGTGATCGTGTGTGGTTTCTGTCTGGGCTCGCTGCTGGAGCGCCCCGAGCTGGCTGGTTTCGGGGCTAAGCCACCCCGTAGAGGTGGTGAAGAGGGGGGAGACAGCCAGCAGGGTTGAGGAGAGCCGCATCTCTCCTCCTCAGCTGGCCATTACTCCCTTTCCTGAAGGCGGTAGCAGCGGTGGTCAGAAATGGCCACCACAAAGAAGAACTCGACCGGAAAAGAACGTGCAGGAGGAAGATAAGAAGTGAAAGTTTTGGCTGACCGGGTTAAATTGTAAAAGCAACAACCAAGGTACCCTGGAATTTAAACTTACAAAAAAATAACATCGCTCCCAAAGAAGAGTCAGAAGCAGCGAAGGAAAGTGAAAAGGGAAAGGTTTGGCTTTTTTTTCTTCTTCTCTCTCCTTCCCTATACTGACAACTAAGAGACTTAAATAAGAAATCGGAAAAATCCGCTTTGACATCAATAGGCAATTAAGCTGAAAATAAAACAAAATGCCAAAGGGGTAATAAACATTAAAAACTTTCTTTTTCATAAGCAGGATGGGAGAGAAAAAGAATATGGGCAGGATCTGGAAGAGGGAGGAGACTGCCTGGAATTAAAAAGAATCTAAAGTAAAACTTCAACAAGACTTCTAAAAGATACATTTTAACTGAAACTTTGCAACTAAATAGTAACCCCAGGAAGAGAAAGTGAAAAAAAAAGAGCAAAAAAGAAACAGCTTGCGTGTATTTGGATTATTTGGTGATTTTTGGATTTTTGGTTATTATATTTGAATGACTAAAATCAATTGGGTGGTTGTTTAAAAATTTATACAATGGCACCACTTCTGGATGAATTGAAAATGGAACTTAAAAAGTACAAAGAAGATGCACAAGAAGGGAAGGGTTCTTTTGGCTTCATTTTTCAAGTCTTAGAAATGGAGATTTGGAACTAGAGAGAAACAACAAGACTGCAAAACAAGAAGACTGGGACAAAGAAGAAGCCATCTTTAATGAACAAGTAATTCTATGTGGGGAAGAAAAAGGAAAGGGGGGAAAGAGAATGAAGAATTTAAGACTTAAAAAAACAACCAAAGAAAAGAAAAATAATTCAAAAAATAAGTATAATACTGGAAAGTAACAGAAAAGGGGAATACAGAAAGAGAAATAGAGGTAGAGAGACAAGGAGGTAAAAAGGGGAGAGAGAAGAGAGGGAAGAAGGAAAGGAAAAGAAGTTACAAAGGACCGGAGCAAGATATAGAGAAACAGGACCTATTTAGAGATAATGGGTGAAAATCTAACTGAAAAAGGGATTCTGTAAAGGTACATAAGATTGTATTGTTATATTAGTAATAGAAATAACTTTAGAAAATTGGAAACAACGTATGATTAAAATGAGGGATAAAATAGTGTAATTTAGTGAAATGTTTGTGAATAAGTGAAATAAAATAAATGAGAAAATTGAATTAGGAAGGAATGGGAACATTTTAATTAGTCAATGTTTTATAAAATATAAGTGAAGGGGGGGAATTAACTATGGAAAGTTTATAATTGTTCCCATGGAAGTATGATATTTAATTGAAAAGTAATATTAAAGATGTTAAGACTTCAATGAATATTAATATTAATGATAGAATTGAATTGGAATGGAATGTTGTTTTAATTATATACATTTATAATTTTTTTTAAAAGAATACAGTGTGTATTTTAAGAATGTACCAAGCAGAATCCGAATGGAAGTTATGTATTATATTGAATTTTACAACTTTAGGGAAAAGATATAAAGGCGTCATACTCCAATCAGTAACTACAGGAGAAATTTTGTTTAATGAGAAAAGATAATAGATAATTGAAACAGGACAGACAAATAATATAAATACAATGATTTGAATTGAGATGAGATAATTAAAATAAAATTGAGAAAATTAAAAGAGGGGAGAAGGTATGCAGAAAATGTAAAATAGTAATAAGATATGGAATAGAATATAAAAATGAGCATGAACTTGAATTTGTGTCTGTACGAAGAAATGTAACCTGGGATTATGCTGCTTTCAAAAAAGATGTTTTATTTGTATTTTTTTTCTCTTTGTGAAAACTCAAATAAAATTAAAAAAAAAAAAGAACTTTTCAATTTCCCCCTTTTTAAAATTATTTTTAGTACTTTTATATTTTTGTTGCTGTTTTTAATGACTGTATCCTACCCCCTTATTGCTGCTCTGAAAAAAGAAAGGTAAATTACAGGTAATCCTCGAATTATGCTGACAATTCACCACAAAATTTCCATCGCTAAGCGAGACATCGGTTGAGTGGGTTTTGCCCCATTTTACGACCTTTCTTGCCCCGGTCATTAAGTGAATCACTGCAGTTGTTAAGTCATTGTCACAGTTG